GAATCGACTTGAGTTCGTATTCAAAGGTGCAGCAATAATTGTTAATGGTCATCCTAATAACCAGGGTCAATCCATCCGATTCAACGAGGCAGTCTGAATTCATATCCATCTTCCTTAATAAACAGGGGTCAACCCTCCACCAACTGACACAGTACTATTGAAACGAGCTCGAGGTCAACAGTGTAGCATGAATTAATAAATGACTCACCCAACTAACACGTCACCCTTAACCACCCCACGATGGACCCTGAAATGAGGTGCCCCACCTGACGAACGTTCAACCTAAAATAACCTGAGCAGCCTGAATTGTGAATGACCATGTAACCGATTACCACGCCCAACTTGCACCCATAGACCCTTCAACTAACCACCCTCTCAAATGAATCCATCATACGGACACCATCAGAATCGTTAATTTACTCTTCGGACTTCACCAATAAATGACCCAATGAATCCCTCAATCCGATTCGGTGTTACAAAAAGTACCCTCACCTGGAGACCATAGATTCATACTCCCAATGTGTTCCATTTCATGTTCAATTCAGAATCGACCTTAATCCCGATTGGGCCATTTATTCATCCGAAGGCGTCTCCAACTCCATGCCTTCCGTATGACCCCTTTTCAGGTCCCTTGAGGCTGATCGACGAGTCGGAGGGGTCGACCCCCTAAATGGGCCATTTATTGATAAATGATGCTATGGAGGTCTAAAAATGGCCCAAATAATAGCCCATTTCGTGTTCAATTAGACCCAATTGAAATAAGGACCCTTAGGCCATTTCTAGGTCATAGATCGAGGTCAGGTCGATTAAGCCATTTCTAGACCATAAGTCGAATCCGGAGGTCGCTTGAACTCAGGTAGTGAGTGAAGGGGTGTTAGCGTAACCCCGGGAGCCTCCCCCGCAAGGCCCCCTGAGTGATGCGAAGGGGGTCCGCAGCTTTGAGGGGGAGGCGGAGGGGTGGAGCGTGCCCCGAACGGTCGTAAGCGAAGCGACCTCGTGCATGCCACCTCATGAGGATGGAGTCATTAGCATCAAGGTCCTGAGACAGCCACAGCTGGTTCAACTGGGATTCAACCAGTGGCGATCAATTCAATAATTAACGGGCATCATTACTAAGTCAACTGTGCAACTATAATTCAAAGGGTTTACCAAGGGAGCCATATGTGGCTGTCTCACAACATCAGAGTTCAGTCAACCGTGCAACCATAGTTTATAAGTTACCTGAGACGGCCATAGGCGGCTCCCTGCAACCGTGATTAATAAGCGAAGCGACCTCGTTTATTCAACCGTGCAACCCTAATCTATAGTCAACTTGAGACAGCCATAGCTGGCTCCAACCACCGGACTCGGTAATCGAAGCGACCCATGCTCAACAGGTTAACCAGCGGTGATCCTAAACGTAGCGAGAGTTTATGGGTTACCCACCGTGCAACCTGAATTTAATGAGAACCCTTGTTCATCCAACCGGAGTTAGAAGCAGTGATGGGTCATTGAGACAACCGAAGGGAGTCAGGAAAGGAGGTCACTTGATAAGCGAAGCGACTCCTTGTTCGTTCAACATGCAGCCAGGGTCTTTAATAGTTACCCACCTGAGACGGCCACAGGCGGCTCAATGCAGTTAAGGTTAATGTCATCACCCGAGACACCCACGAGGTGGCTCCATTCAACCGCAACCTTAAGCGAAGCGACCTAGTAATCATGAGTCAGTCGTCATCCGTCATCATTAACAATCGTCACCATCATTATCAACCGGTTAGCCAAGGGAGCCAGCTGTGGCTGTCTCAGCGATTCACCACGGTCCAGTAGGTAAATGTCCTGAGACACCCACGAGGTGGCTCAATCCAGTCGTTATGATAAGCGAAGCGACCTCGTACAGAATCATTATTGCTATCAGCAACGTCCTAACCATCCACATCATCGGCACCATAATGAAAGGAGCTAGCTGTGAATGTCTCAAGCAGAAAGAGTTGATAATACGAGACGGCCACAGGCGGCTCCCTGCAATAGAATTCAATAAGCGACACCTTGTTCATCAACCTGCAGCAAGGATTAATAAAGGGTATCGAGGGTCCAGCGGTCATTACCAACATCAACCTAATCGTCCTCAATAAGAGGAGCCAGCTGTGGCTGTCTCAAGCATAAGGAATTATTATTAGTGGTTAAGCTACCTGAGACGGCCACAGGCCGCTCAATGGTGTTATGGTGATAAGCGGAGCGACATCGAACCCGAGCAACCATGAATTATAATTAACCCGAGACGGCCACAAGCCGGCTCATGCAGCGAGAATTGGTAGGATTCAGCAGCAGGGATGAACAAGTGATGAGGCTAGAGGATTCGGCAAGGGGAGCCAGCTGTGGCTGTCTCAACATCAGGGATGGTGTCAAGCGAAGCGACATGTGAATCAGTCCAGCGATGATTAGTACTGTTCAACATGATACACCCAAGGTGACTCCACCAGGATTAACTACCCAACGAAGGAGCCAGCTGTGGCTGTCTCTATCAGTAGCTCAGTAAACGGGGCAGCAATGGTTTATAATTCAACCTGAGACGGCCACAAGTCGACTCAACTTACTGGGTCATCAATAAGCGAAGCGACCCTTCAACCTGAGACAGCAACAAGCTGGCTCATTCAGCTACAATTAGTAAGCGAAGCGACCTGTGCAAGATGTCTCATGAACCTATGTAACCAGAACCTACATGTTCAACCCGAGACCCCACGAAGCGGCTATATCCATTGGTCATGTTAAGCGTAGCGACCCTCATTTCAATGAGTAGCCTGAGGCGTATCACCCTCATCAACATCGGAACCATCACCGTCATCAGAATCAAAGGTGTCAGCGGGTCATCATCGAGTTCATATTCAACCGTGCAGCAGTGATTATAAGGCTACCTGAGACAGCCACAGCTGGCTCCTTTGGTGAAGGTGTTGAGCGAAGCGACATGAGTAACGATTCAGCGGAATCACCATCAACGTCGTCCTAACTGCTATCGTCATGATCAACATCGGAACCGTCGTCATCAGAATCACCATCAACAGGTCAGCAAAGATAGTAAGGTTCCCAGCTAAAGGAGTCAGCTATGGCTGTCTCAACAAGTTAACGGTGACGATTAAATAACCTGAGACGCCCACAGGCGGCTCCCCTTAGTAATCATGATAAGCGAAGCGACCCTGCGGAGCCGTCATCAACAGAATTATCCTAACCGTAACCCTCATCATGGTCATCTCCAACAGGAGCCAGCTGTGGCTGTCTCAGCACCAAGACCCTTCAACATCGGTTAGTAAGCGAAGCGACCTCATTATTCAACCTGCAGCCTTGATCTAAAGATTCGTCATCGAGGAGTCATGCAGCCTTGATTGTTAATGAACTACCCGAGACGCCCACGAGGTGGCTCAACATACTGGTGTCAGTAAGCGAAGCGACCTCACCAAGGTAACCGTCATCCTGAACATTATTATCACCCAAGGGAGCCAGCTGTGGCTGTCTCAAGCAGTGGTAATGATAAGCGAAGCGACTCTGATTCACATTCAACCTGCAGCACCGATTTAAATAATCTACCGAAAGGAGCCAGCTGTGGCTGTCTCAACGATTGAGCATGAATTAATGATTATCCCAACCTAAAGGCGAAGGAAGGTAGTCTCGTTGATCAACCATGCAACCAAGATTATTAGTGACCAAAGGAGTCAACTGGTCTGGAGGTAGGCGCAAGTGGAGGAGCGAAGGTCGTGTTAGTGAAGGTGGAAGGAGGTGGACCTTGCAGACCGTTACCCGTAGTACCCCTCTTCGGAGTGACCTCCCCGCAGCCAACCCTTGGGGGCCCCCCTGGGGAGGTTGGTGAGGAGAGGACACGGAGATGAGGGGTACGTAGGGTATAAGGTTTGCAACTTGCAGGTCCACCGGTCCACCGTAACGTGCGACCGTAGCGGGGGAACGACCTCGTGCAAGATCACCACCCACGAACCCAGCAAGTGCAGCGAAACGAAGGTGGAGTGTTAGCGCAGTCGATTCTCTCAAGGGGACCCTTTAGGGGATGGAGGATCGACGGAGCGTGGTCCACCGTAGTGAAGCGGAACGACGTCGTGGTATAGCGACCGAGCAACCAGTATCTGTAGAGAGGGTAGGCAACAGCAACCGATAGGACGCAGGAACTAGCACGGTTTAGTAAGTGAAGTGCAATGAAGGTCAGGTGTTAGCGCAATCACCTATCCTTGGGCCCCGCTTGCGGGAGAGAGGTGATGGAGCGTGGCTGACCGTAATGAAGCGGAACGATATATGCATAAGCTCTTTATATAAGACCGATGCAGCATTGATCTATAAGTTGCTTGAGACAGCCACAGCTGGCTCAACGTGAGGGAATAATAATAATGTTATGTCGAGAGACGGCCACAGGCGGCTCCACCCAACGACTATTGATAAGCGTAGCGCCTCATTACATGAGACAATCACAGCTCGTTCCATGCAACGGACTAACAAGTTAGCAAAGGGAGCCAGCTGTAACCAATAACAACATTCTGAGACAGCCACAGCTGGCTCAATCACCATCGACTACAATGACATCACGATAGCCAACAGGAATCCCATGATGATTACTATAAGACAGCTGTGTCTATCTCAAGCAGTGGTCCAACCACGGTCATCGGTTGTCGAGACAGCCACAGCTGGCTATATGTAATAAACCTAGTAAGTAAGGGTCGAACGACCGTCAATAGATTGAAGGGGACCGGTGCAACAACGATCATAAAGCAACAATGACTTGATCGTTCACCTGAGACAGCCACAGCTGGCTCCCCTAAGTTCATGCAAAGGTCGTTCCGTCAGGTTCCGGTGGGGCACGTTCCGCTCAACCGGTCCCCCTGCAAGTTGCCCCCTTATAGTCCTACGATCGACTACCATCGATCTCCGGCCTAACGCGTGCAAGGGGGACCTCCTTTGAGCTACACTAACACCCCACCTCCACCTGACTTCACTTGAACCTCCCCGACCAACACAGCCGGGCCCCACTAGCATCGAGGGTCTCGAACCCCCACCTCCCAGTGTAGAACTAGGCGCACTTCTCTTGTGCTAGATGCTTAACTAACCAATATACCTGCGATGGCCACAGGCAGCGCCCCTCAACGAACTCTACAATACGAGACAGCCACAGCTGGATCCCCACAGTTGCCCTTCACGCGGCGCACACGTCTCACGTCCCCCAATGAAGGGTTCCGATCGAACTGCTCTTCGGGTTGCCCCTACGAATGGCACTAAAGGCTCATCAGGCAGTCATTTGTCACGGTGAGCCGATTCACCACCGCTAGACCCCCACCACAGCATCCCTAAGGACTCCATCATCTCTGACTTCGTTAGGTGAGTAACTTCCAATTAACACCCGAGCTCAGGTGCCCCTTGCCTTTCGGCCATACCCCGAGGGAGGAGTATACATGCATAGCGACCCGCCCTCCACCTTCCGAGCTACCAGCCCCCCTCACAAAGAGAGGTTCGGCACCAAGCACCCGCCGCCAGGACGGAGCTCGATCCAGAAGAGTTGAGGACGCTTATTAGCACATATACTACCGCCACGACAACATCCACCTCCACGTGTTAATACAATGAGCTCTCTTATGGTGTTAGGTCAGGCAGCAGGTACCGCTCCTTCCATCCCCCACCTTCCCTTACTACCCCCAGCCCCTCCCCATCATCGCAGAATACCAGCGACGCGAAAAGAAGCGGACCACAAGCCGTGGCCCAGCGTAGTAAGGTTCAGTAGCTTCCTGAAGGTTCACAGCCCTTAGTCCGTTATTCCTTGTCGCCCAGTACGAGGGTCCTCGCCCCGCACCTCCCTAGACTTGCCCCGCCACGTGAAGAATCTCACACCCCCGGTTTACAAGGCCCCTCATAAAAGACCATGGTTCCTTGGATAGTTAATCACGCAAGACGACGCGCAAGGTAACACACATGCAAGCATCACCCCTGCCCCTGCAACTCTGTTTGTGTACTCACTTCCCAATCCGTGTACTGTTCCCGTTCCCTAACTTATTATCCTCCCCCATCGCCCACCAGCCGTCATCCTCGCCCGCATGCTTGGTGCGACCGGTCGGATGTAACTTCTGATGTTGTAGACTACTGAGATCGGCTGTTAAAAGGTGGTCGCGCAGAATGGACCTCAACAAAGGAAGGAGTCATTGCAGCGGGTATATTAACAATTAGAAGATGAACACCACCGCAGCAGTGTTCCGCAGCACACCATCGGCCCTCCTCCAATATCCTGAACCCAGTCACCCAGTATACCTCCCACCTAAGAGTGAGTACACCAAGCCTCCGAGCCCATCGTAAAGGATAGAGCACAGGTCATGTCACCCATCACTGGATGAAAGGGACGCCCCACCCCTCAGATTCATACACCCACACCTCGCGATGTGCGTGCTGCCGCCTGAGTTAATGACGCCCCCGCTACAAGCTGTTGCCTTTTATTCAGCACCCCCACCGCACGTGAACACAATGACACCCTCCTCTTCAACCTCACCACAGACCTCGGGTCACAAGGACACACCCGCCTATGGATCCATCTCAAAGAGAGTGCCACCCCCCCCCACGCCGCAGAAGCCAGCACTCGTACGCCCGACACATCGCTCGCCCCTAACTCCCAGCATTGCCACTCATGCGGATCATCATACCCCCGGCCCAGCCCCACCCATCAGCCCAACCAGTGGGCATGTAGTGAAACCGAGGTTCAGGTCCTCCCCGTCATGAATCTAGCGCCACCTGTTAGCAGACTACAATGCAGCCTGTCCGCACTTCCGCACGCCAATGCCCCGCCCTTAAAATCGATTACTCGATTCACCAGCAGATACACCTCGCACTTGACACCCACCCTCTCCACGTGGCGTGCCCCATACCCCCTAATCGGAGTACCCCGCTGTCACCTCCACACCCCTCCACATTTGGGACCCCTCCGCCAATATACCTAGACCAGCCACCCTGCCACTCCACCACGATGTGCCCCGCCCCCTTCAAAGTCATGATGCCAGAGGACGAACCTCACCTCACATCAGTTAAAGAAGGGAACAAGACACACCATGATGAAGCGTCAAGCCAACTAGCCAATCAGTATGCCAAGGGAAAGCCGCCCCTCCAGTGTACATGATGCAGCCGCAGCACCCTGACTCAGTAGCCGTCCGATCGTTGAAGAGCACGCAGTAAGACGACGTGGTTCAGGCGGATTCTACCTACAGGCCTAGTTTATCGTCTTACGGATCCACCCGTTTACGGACGCGTCAAGTTCACGCAGCTCGATAGCGTGCCCAACGAGGCTTCATCCCAACTATGATTCCATCCCGCAGCAGCCGTATGGGGCCGATATAGGTCAGGTAGCCAGGGCAGCCGCTCAACGTGAGGGTACGTGTACTCTCCCCGCTTCAGGCGTTCAACTTCTCTCCCATCACTAGGATTACATTGAAGGCTATTCACGAGGAGCACGCTCCTTCTTCATCTACTTCCTACGCAGCCTCAATCTTTAATGTACTCACTGGGACAACGGTAACAAGTGAAGTGTAATGTAGGTGGGTGTTAGCGAAGGGGTTTAAGAGAGGTGGTCTTGCATGACGTTTCACCGGAGATCGATGGTAGTCGATCGAAGGTGAATAAGGATTGCAACTTGCTGACCACCGAACGGCCCCGCAGCGTGCCCACCGGAATGAAACGGAACGACCCCGCGCTTCCCACTCGAGGTAGGACTCGATGCGATTGAGTCATCCTGAGACAGCCACAGCTGGCTCCCTGCGATCAGGTAGTCCAGTGTAGCAAACAACCGTGCAGCCTGAATTGTTAGATGGTACTGAGACAGCCACAGCTGGCTCCCATTCCGAGGAGTAATCAGTATGATAAATAACGGTGTAACATAGACTGATAAAAGTAAGCCACAGATGACTCCCATCAATGGTTCGTGAATCCTGCTGATAATGAGCCGCCTGTGGCCGTCTCAAGCGACCTCCCTATTAATCTAAGGAGGCTACCCGAGACAGCCACAGCTGGCTCCCAGTACGACGATAGCCACGTAACATTAATTGTTAAAGGTCCCACTAATAAACCCGGGGCAATCCTCACCCAAGCACAGTAACAATGAAATGAGGGGTTCAACCAATCAACGGTGCAACAATAATTTATAAGTAGATCACCCAACCAACGTGTAACCCAGAATCGATAGCCCATTCACCTCTAAACCAGATACCCCACCTGGTGACTATGCTATCCAAAATAATCAGTGCAGCAATAATTTATAACCATAGACCTTATAAATGCAGGAATAAACCCTCTACCAACTCCGCGGACATGTTTAAACTAAGGGTCCAATCCATCAACGAAGCAATCCTCATTATAAATGAGCCTACCCACCACCATAGTACCCTTAATCAACCACCAATCAACCCTGAAACGGAACCCTCCACCCGCCAGCCATGCCACCCAAATAATTGGAGCAACACGACTGTCGAGTCATCAGTCCTTAAATAAACGGAGGTGATTCCTCGAACGACGCCACGGTAACGATGAAACGAAGAGTTCAGTAAGTTAACCAAGTAGCCCTAATTGTTAAACAGGTCACTCCACTAACATGTAACCCATAATGAGCCACCATCCTACCCTGAAATGAGATACCTTACCCGTAAACCATCCGATGTAAAGTAACGATGCAGCCCGAATTAATAATAATGAAGAAACCAATCACCCCTCCCGCCACCCATCCAACCCCGATTACGACCATTAAACAGATCACCCGCCACCCCCTTTAACTCAGAAATCAACCCAATAAATGACCCAATCGATCCTCCAATGAATCCCTCAATTCGATTCCGTGACCCAAAAACAAGGTCCTCCTGCCATGCACTCTATGATTCTTCCAATGTGTGTTCAATTGGTTTCAATTCAGAATCGATCTAGAGGTCATTTAGCCCATTTATCCATCAGAAGGGTCCTGAATCGCACGCTCCTCGGGTGACCCCTTTTCAGGTCATTTAGCTCAATTGAAGGACCAACGGATCCGATGGTCAAATGGGCCATTTATCGATCCGATCGTCTATGGAGGTCCAGAAATGGCCCAATAAATGGCCTATTTTCTGTTCAATTAGAAATGGCCCAATTCAATAGATGATCGATCTAGGCTAAAAATGGCCCAATGATTAATTGAAGATCGACCCTAGGCCATTTCTGATCGAGGGAGTCAGTCAGCCCCGCCAGGTGGAAGTGAAGGTGGGTGTTAGCGGAGGGGTTTAAGTGAAGTCCTTGCAGCGAAGCCATCCCCGACATTAGGAGGGGTGGTGTAGTTGCAACTTGCCAGGACTGAACGGCCCCGAGCGTGCCCACCGTAACGCTATCCATAAACGCGGAGCTCGTCAGTAGGGATCGAACCACCCCCCTAAACGCGGAGCCAGTCACCCGCGATCAAGGCTAGCAAGTGAACGCAGGAGGTGTTAGTGCAGGAGATCACCTCAAGGGGACCCTTTAGGGGATGGGTGATCTCCGGAGCGTGCCTCCGTAGTGAACGACCCGTGCAGACCCCCACATGAGGAGGGCCTTGAGTACAGTAGATCGTTGAGACGGCCATAGGCGGCTCCCATTCCGTAGGAAAATACCATGACATGAAACCGTGCAACATCAATTGTTAAGTCATCCACCCGAGATGGCCACAGGCGGCTCCATCAGCGGGTATGAGCTATCACCAAGCAACGATACAGAAAGGGCTAATAATGACCACGAAGTGGGCCAGCTGTGGCTGTTTCGTGCAACATGAATTAGGCAAGGGCCTGAGACAGCCACGGCTGGCTCCACCACCCGAAGATGATAAGCGAAGCGACCTTACATCATCCGTGCAGCATGAACCATAAATAGACCTGAGACGGCCACAGTCGGCTCAACATGGTGGTGAGCGAAGCGACCTCAAGTTCATGATACCGAGCAGCCAGGATTAGTAGTTGATGAGACACCCACGAGGTGGCTCCTACCATCGAATTCAGTAAGCGGAGCGACTCTTTGTTCATTCACCGTGCAACAATAGATTATAATTCAACATGACTCGGCCACGAGTCGGCTCCACGGTGG